CCCCCCCCGCCGTCGTCCGAGGCGTCGTCTGGAAGCTGCCCCCGGCGTAGGTGTACATGCTGAGGATGCTGCGGGAGCCCTGCGTGTTGGCCAGGCCGTCGCGGTCGGTGCACACGCCAAAGGAGATTTGCTTGCCCGACGCCCGGCCCGGGTGGTGGTTGACGACGGCGGCGAACCCGTAGACGGCGACGACGCTGCTCCCGCCGTCGGCCCATTTCGCCTCGGGCACGGCGCAGCCGCCGGCCACGCAGGTGTCGTGCGCGCACCGGCGCAGCCCGTCCGACACGTTGCCCGCGTCGGCGAAGCTCCACGTCCACGAGGGCTGGGCAGCCGCGTCGTGGATGACAATCCGCGCATCCGCCGAGGGCGTCCCGAACAGGCCGGTGATGATTTGCGTGTTTCGGCTCGTCGCGCGGCCGTGGTGCACGGGGCCCGCGCGGGCTGCTCCCGATGCCCAGAGGACGAGGGCGGACAAGATGCCGCAGGACTGCTTCATTTTATACAAATGAATATTGATATATAGTAAAAAGAAGTCTCCTGTGCCTCCGCAGTGTTATCCTTGGAACGGTATTGCGGTCTCGGCGCCTTCACCGTGGGGAGGTGCTGCGCCGCGCCCTCTTAATATGGCTTCCTTCTCTGCCCCTGGCGGTACATCAAGACCACGCACTTGTACGCGGCCACGAACACGTAACTTGGCCCGCGGCAAGGAACACGGATGGCATTAGCCCGTGGGCACAGGCGGACGAGAGCGCCGCAGCTGACAAAGAAGACGGAAACTTGCCCGACGGGGACCAAAGGGGAGAGAGTCACAAACAAGTCAAGAGTCCAGCTCCGTGTACTCCGTAAGCTCCATGTAGCCGCAGGCCAGCTCTGATTACCGCGCAGCTCAAGTGCTATTTTTGCGGCCGAGCGGGCGTGCGGCTGGCATGTGCAGCTCACGACTCGTTCTCTTCCTTTGCGCGTGGTAAAGAGTCAAGTAAAAGGACAAGTTGTGCATGCCCGGCCGCGAGAGTGAAACCCGGGCGGCGCCACGGGGCCCCAGATTTAGCACCATGGCTTCCGTGTGCAGTAATTGTCCAACGGCAGGCGACCAGGGACAATGAGCAGCAGAGATCTGTTTGGCCGCCACCGAGATGTTGGCGCCGGCGCCCTCGTGCCGCGTGCCGAGTTGCCAGGTCCCCGCGCTGCCGTCGTCGTCAGCTTGGGGAGTCGCATTACGACTTCGCGATGCTTTTCTTCTTTTGCCGTGCTTGAGAGCCGATTCATAGTAGACGCGTAAGCCGAGAAGGTTGGGGAGAGAAATCAACAGTCTTCCAGTGGCATGCATATATTTGCAGGAGACTGGCGACGCCATTGCCTCGTTGTGAATGAGCTCGTCGCATTTGTTTCTTTCTTCTTTTCGACAGTAACGAAAAAAGTAAAAACCACTTGGATAAGCCCTTGGGGACTTGAAATCTAGTCCATGGCAATAGTACCACGGCACACGCATACAGCAAAACGCACGCCCAGGAACCTTCATCCACACCACACGACACCACACACCAACCGCTAAATAAACATGGCCGCCCCCAAAGCCATCATCACCAAGGTCGTCAGTCCTGCCCACAGCACCGCCCGCCCCCCGCTCAGGGCGAGTATCGGCGCCGCTCCCGCCGTAGGCTGCGTCCCAGACACAGAGGGCTCAGGAGTCGGCGAGACGGTGTGAGTCTGCGAGACCGAGGCAATTGACGTGGTGGCATTCACTACACGCCGTCAGCCACTCCGTACAAAAATAAAATACATGACACAAAAAAAGCCAAGGGAGAGGAGACACACCAGCAAATGTGTGGCGGTAGAAGGTGCGCGGCTCCGGTCTAAACGCGGCCGTGGCATAGCACAGAATCGCCGACGCAGACGATTCGAAGACGGTGGCGGTTTCGCACCGGTCAAGGCCGCTACTGTCTGTGTGAGTGAGCCCAGCTCTGCTTTGGTCCATTGTCCATTGTCACCGCCAAGCACTCACCAGTCCGACCTCGACCCGTCGTCGTAAACGACCGCGTTGGACTCGCACGCCGTAGCAAACGCCGTCTCCTGCCGGCAGCCCGCAAACCCCGAGCGAGCGCCGTAACGAGCGCCGTAACGAGCGCCGGGGAGACACTCGGACGAGAACCCTGCGCTGCGCCGTGAGCCATTGTCTTCCCTCTTTCGAAACTATACATGATCAGACGTCAACGGTATTCCTCCACCTCAATTATGCGTGTTCCTCTCTCCTGCAGACCAGACCCTTCCACATTCATTTTCCAACATGCCCACCGATAGACCACTTTTAAAAAAAAAAAAGGACAGAAAAAGAGAGACACTCACACTCTCCCGTTCCAAGAATGCCACCCCAACACCCCCCTTCCACTCGTAGGACTAGCCGTCGTGACCGCCACGCTCGTAGATGTCGGATCGGGATAATTGTCGACCGGCGATTGACCCACCGTCTTGGCCGCCCCCCCC